TTTAACTTATTTGGACTTATGAAATGAAAGTAAGTGATAAAAGATGATTTCAAAAGTCTTTTTTAACCGAAGAGTGGTCGAAATGTACTCACTTGGTGAGAAACATAAATTCTGGAAGTATTATTAAATTAAGAATATATATTTGATATATATTTGTGAACACATTTTTTACATTACTGAAATAAGCATATGTGTATATTCATATGAATTATAATATGACGAGTTGCAAAAATAAGCAAATCTATTCATACATAACAAAACTGATATATCTTGTTAAACAATTTATACATAAATGTTGACCGGCAATAATTCACTTTGACTTTTCGATTTCTATTCACAAAGCAAATTACAAAGTCAACAAGAATGGATGCATATATCTCAGAATATAATCATATAAATGTAACATAGAAATTCCTATAAAACCACAGCGATTTTAAATGTCACTTGAAATGTTACAGATTAAATTATTACTGTCACAATGCATCCTATAGAGTTATCTAGAGAAATTACTACCCAACTACAAGATGCTAGCAACATACTATTTAGTTTTGTGATGTATTTGTGAACAATGAGTATATATACTACAGCAGTTATTTCATAAATTTTGGGAAGCATAAGTGAAACGTCTATATTTTTCAAAAATGAAGAAAGTCATTCTATCAGGTTGTTTATCCTTTGGTCAGTGGTCATCATCAGCAGCAGCGTGTAACACGGTCAGAAGACAAAGTGTATTTAGAAACAAATAATGAGTAAGAGTAACAGTGAATTTTTTAGCAGTTTCTTTTTTCTTTTTGGTGTGCAGGTCTAGTTGAGAAAAATTTATCAAAGCCATCTTGTAGATCCTATTCTTACAACGGTGAATTTTTGACTATTCTCTCTTACCACATTTAGTCATTGATATAAATTGCGAAAACATAGAAAAAATCAAATGAATTTCATTGACTCACGATTTTATCTAAACGTTTCTGACAATTTCTCATAAAGAAATAACTGTATGTAAGCACTGATAAATTACAAAGCTGTTTAGATACATCTTATTTTCTCATTCTGCGGTTAGTTTGAATAATCTGCTATGACCTCAAGTATAAACTTTTTCCTGTTGTCTTAACGAGTCCAGGAAAACTTTGAGATGTATATGTTTAATCATCAGGATACCTATACAAAATAATTTAATGCTGTTTTGTGTTTTTGAGGACTAATAGACCGCAATCCTGTGACAACTCCTATCCTTGTCTTTCAGTACTTAAATGACAGAATCTGAGACTAAGAAATTCAACACCATACCTCCCTTATCAGAAGTGATTTATACACATAAATTAGTCAGGGGATGGGCACCTTACAGTCTTCGAATCATTGCTTTTGACTAAGTTCTGTTGATAAAAATTGTAGTTGTGTTACGTAATTAACTATAAACCACATAAGCACCTTTGACGACAACAGATTAATGTAACATTTGATGTTCTAATTTGATAGAGAATTTCAAATAGTCTGTTAAGTATTTAGTTTCTGTATCATTGTGAAAAAAGGAAACGAGGAAGAGGAAATTCATGATAGATTGTATATGGGTTAGAAGTGATTGAACATAGAGTATCACCTTTAAACTAAGTGTAATATCTATAGCAAATGCTGGTTGTAGTTATCTGTTCCTTAATAAGTCAGACTTCTATTCTTAATTTTTGGCAACATTCTTGGGGGAGCATGCGACTGTTTTGTTGACGGAAAGTGCAATAATTTACATAAGTAGACGAGGATACAGTTATGATGGAAATCAGCGAAACCATTTTCAATTATTTAAAAACTTCATCAATAAAACACCGCACAGTACGATGAGTTTGGTTTTCTTTGTGCTTTGATATTTTGCCGTAATCGTCTTGTCACCGGGTTTTGTGCCATCATCAGCACCAGTTATATAGAGGAATGAGACACTACTAATTTTACTTTGATGTTTATATGGTATTCCCGCTGATCTTGACTGTCAATTAATTATATGTCATGGATGAGATTTTAGTCCCACAATAAAATTTTTGAGCCTAATTATTATTCGAAAAATGTTTTTGCAGTTACATTTTGCTTTGCCTCACACTATGCTTGATTATTGGTTTGTTTGTAAACTTTATCATGATTGATTTATGATGGCTACCTAAGCAAAATTTACATCAGCTTTAGAACCACATCTCAGTTTACTGACTTTTTATTTAGGTGCCGATTTCTTCAGAAGGCTGGATGTGATTACAGCCATTGCACTATTGCTTCCGCAATCAATCCTGATAATGAAGATTCCGCAGGTATTCCCTTTGGTGCACGTTTTATTCTTCGTAATGATATATAAGTAGATCATAAGGCAGAGACCGACCAACTTAAATAAGTTTGGGACAGTGTGTTTCACTTACACTAAGAAAATAATAGATGTTCTTCAGAAGAAAACCTGTAGTTTTTGTGTCAATATTTTCATCTTATAAACAGTAAAGTCACATCAGTAAGTCCCATCCTTTTGCTGTCGTCTGTGCTCAGCTCTTTTATTCTTTTTAGAAATCTTTTTGTCGACGTGACTGAGTGTTCGCATACATTGATAAAAACTTAAGAAATCAATTAAAGCTGTGACAAATTATTGGTCGCATTAAAACATCTGTTTTATGCACTTGTAGTCAAGCGTAGAGTTTCAATGAGACAGGTTAAAAGACATCACCCACTGATGTACTGCTTTCGTGATATGAACAAATTTTACCATGTTCTTCAAGTTTTTTTGGCATAGTTTTTTAACTGCCTAGGTGAATTGACATCCACTAGTTTGTAGGTTCTCCGCTCTTCATGTAATACTTGTGCATTTCTGACATAGTTTGTCTTTTTCATGCCCATGACTTATCATCCTTTGTTCAATGGCAAGACTACAATTCTCATGTTGGTCGCTTGTGACTTCACTGCATTTCTTTCATTTATATCCAGATACTGATTTTTTCTGATTTTCTTCATAAGCGTAACTCTTTGAATTGCTTTCTGATTTTCTTCAAATTTTCGTGATTAAGTTTTAATCTAAATCAGTAACAATGTTCAAAAACCTGGTTTGGTCAAATTTACCTGACCTTAGTTCAGTCCCCTTGGAAACAAATTATGCTTTATCGCAGGTAGTGGTAGTTTAGAAAGATTCATTGCTCGGTCATTTGAATTTTTTTCACTGGTAGAAAAAGTGTATTTTATTCAATTGCCTAATCCATATTTTCTCACTTTTGTTTTAAGTATTATAATGATGGTTTTGTCAATTTGCTCACTATCTCTACTCCTATGACTGGTTTCAAAATTTGTTCTTGAGGAAGTATCTGAGTGTTGTATGTATTTATTCAATTAGTCGCATCTAAAATCATGCGTGGTACGTTATTTCTGCCACACTGTTGTTCAGTCCTTCATCAAGTGGGGGAAATTTGATTTGTGATCTGTATACAACGCCTAATGACATGATAATCCACCGCAGACTTATGTGCTTCTAAAGGAGAGCTTCTTCTGAGTGAAAGGTGTACGTATAAAGTCCTCTCATTTTTGGGAGCTCAAAGGCACTGTACACTTAAGACATTTTGGCGTGTTGAGACAAAATATAAGAAGAAGAACTCCAGCACGAAAATCGTTCCCCTTAGAAACTTGTGAAGATTTATCCTAAGTTTCCTGAATCTTCGAAAACCACTTCACTTTGACTGTTTTCTAAATAAATTGCTTTGCAATTATTTGTGTTGGTGAAAATATACTAAACTTAGTTAGGCATTATGATGAACAAAATATTTGGTGATACTTGTTCGATTTAGTTAATTATTTGTATCTGTTTTAATGAGAGAATAATAGTGAATACATCGGAAGATTTCACTTAGTCATATAGAAAATCATAATAAATTCTTCTGATCGAGAGAAGCTGCTCACATAGAATAAACTCTTATGAAGACACTTAGATTTTAATTTTTTTAGACAGAGCCTGATCTTTTTGAAAACATTTTGGAATAAAACTTACTGTAGACACCATTCACTGCGTTCGGCTGCCCTCTAGTTTACGTGTTAAGATGATTTTATATCCATAGAAAGAGGTTGAACTGAGTAAATATTGCTTAGTAACAAAATTTCGTCAAGAAAAGTGATAAAATCATCAAAAACATTTTATTTCTCTGTTATATAGGTGACATATCACTTTACACTTAATATGTAAATCTTCAGTTCGCTTAAACCACTCAGAAAAAAACATCTGGTAAACTGATTTACTAGGGTACACTATTAAGAATCCCATATGTAAAATGAAATGATGCCTACTGAATATAATCTCCTGTGATAATAAATCATAAAAAATTCTTTGAGTCAATAAAAAATACCAGTTATTTGACAGATTAAATATCTCATTTACAAAGGTAAACTATGGCTTCTTAGAACTTAATATTGAGTGGTCCTATAGGAAATTGATATAGCTGTTGTCTGCTCCCAAGTTTGAAGTGGTTCTCCAGCTGACATAAGTCAGCGATGAGGGCTAATTCCAAATACACCATTTAGTTGCAAACTAGATTTGATCGGAGCCGCCATTCTTTGAAATTTAAACAAGCGTTTCATAACCGAGCATAACAGAACTTCGCCTTACTAAACATTATATAACTTAAGTACCGCTTTGTGAAAAAATCAAGTCGAAGGACACCATATCTACTCGCTTTGCTTTAGAATTATTTTCATACATCATACAGGATTTCTTCACATTTTCTGAATATTTTAAAACCGCTTATTGTTATGAAAATTACTTCTTTAGAAATTTGTCAATAGTTGTGAACAAGACAAATACTTTTCTTCTGATTCATGTAAGTCAGCCAGATTAGTAATTATTCCATTGGGAAAAGCAATCAACAAACGTAGCTAATCAGTCACATGAAAATGACATTTATGTAAAATATGACTAGAATGAAGGTGGTATTTTACATACGTTATCGAAAAAATGCTGTGATAATAATAAATACGTTGCAATAATGTTAAGATTTCTGGCTTACTTGACTGGTAACTCTTCTTTTGTTTCACTGATAAGTTAAAGACGATACCTTGATGATTGTTAATTTAATAAGCACAGGAGAAATAATACAAGTGTATTTTCCTTCTATGTTTTGCGTTAATTTATAACCCCAAATTATTTAACAGTCGCTTGAGTATGTATTTTGTTATTGGTTCATATTCAAACCAATCAGAATTTTGTTTGCCGTAAAAGTCCGATTATTACTTTATATTTGTTTATTTTCATTGAAAAACAACCGAAAAAGCAAATTTCTTTTAAGTAAACGCCAAAGGTTAGGGAGAACGATGAAAATGTCACAACCTCAGACTGTGATAATGGTAGTAAAAATTACAATTCTGACTGCGAACCTCCTATCTAAACGTAGCTAATCACCGAGACCTGATACCAACATTTATAAAACTTAAACAAGTTATTTTTTGAAAGGCAACAACGTTTATTGCTTGTCCTGAAGTCATCATCATGAAATAATTTTGGTCAAGTTAGGTTTTCAACTTGTTGGAAAATAGTCTTTATGAACCTAATCAAAAAGCCAAAGGAGAAAAGCAATGTGCTAGTGATATTCAGTTAACTTCACCTCCTTTCTTAGGTTAAAATAACAAGAACAAAACAATTATTATTATGAAGTTCCTGTAAACGTTTTGCTCACAGAAGTGTTTCCTGATTATTCTAGCCACTAAAAGGTTTTTTCCAAAATATATTTATCAATGCAAATAATAAAACTAACATGTCACTGCTGACTAATTAAAAAAAGGAGACGTTTCTGAGCATGAAAGATATGACCATTTCTGTTTAATAATCAAAAGATCAATATAAAATGCTGTGTAAAGAGCTAAATAAAAAAAATTCACGACAACAGAACAACTTCACAAAGGTATTTGAATATATAGCTGAAAGTTTTAAATGTTTTCACCTTGATCATATTTCTAAAGGATTTGTTCACCTTTTTTAGATCGTCTGGTAGATTAGTAGGGCAAATAGACTTTAAAGAGCATCAGTATCGGATCAAATCTTTGTTGAAGCCAAATTAAAATATAAATCTCAATGCTTTCACTATTATGTCTAAAAAATATTACACCTTCTTGTAAGGTAACAGATTTGTTTTTCCTGACCACAAATTTTAATACCTTTTTTAGCATTCACAATAGACTGGATTGTTAAGACTTTCCAAGCAGGGTTGTCAATTTCTTAGTCTTTGAGACTTTGAGACTTGAATAACTCTGTGTAGTGTTTCCTTCTTCCCTTTTTACCCTGCGTGTACAAATACAAGAATCTGTACTATAACTCTACATCTGACTAAATTTTCAAGGGGTGATAATTTACAGATAAATGGTATGACTTTCTGTTATTCCAATATGATCCACCTCCTTTTGTAGTTAGTCAAGTTTGGGTCGAGCATTTTTGGAACCAGAAAATAAACTAGCATTAAATACTCCTTTTCTCAAAGATTGATTGGATTAGTTGACAAAATGAATGTGAAGTAGATTTCCCCTGGCATTCAGCATTCGTAAACTTGATTCCAAGCTTTTGATAACTCCGCATTTTGCCTTTGAGATACTGAAATGTGAGGACGCAGACATTTCATTTGCACATTGTTTTTAGTGCTTCCGGACTTCAGTTTAAAAGATGTGCAGTCCTCTCTACATGATCGAGTTACCTGGGATCAAAAGACTTTATGCTGAAAAGATACCCTTGAGAACAAACCAAGAAATTTAGAAGTTCATATAGTGATCATGACACTTGCAAATCATTTGGGTTCATAATCCTCAACAATGCAAAGACCAGGTTTTAACTTATCACAGGAACCTGCATTCACGAACTTTATTCGGTAAAGTCATTTCGAAGCGATTCAGAGACTAGCAATGAATGGTATCTCAATTGATATTTAAGAGGATTACAATGAAAAACTGTTGACATCCTTGATAACGCTTGTATAATAAAAAGTTATTCGAAGATAATGATTTCAATTTTATTGCAAATTTTTCAAAGAAGGTGCTTGTGAAAATATATTCTATACTTCCAAACATTCTGAGCAAGGTTGAGTCACTTCCTTGCCTCCGCTGAAGCTAGTATCTGATTAAATTATTTTCCGGAACAAATAGACTGCTATGTTAGTAGTCATTTTACTCGATCCCATAACTTAAAATCTCACCGCGGTTTAAACCTAGAAACTTGAAAACGCATTTTATCTGTTTGCCATATTCGTACAGGTAAATTATCATTCAGGATGATATTCTCTCAATATGTTTGCTAATATTTTTTACTTTGTCCACTTCTCTTGGTTCAACGTAAGTCTCTGTGAAATAATAACTGAGGTAGTCTTTCATTAATCGGGACTGAATTACTTCATTATGCGTTTAAATTAATGTCATAGCTGACGTTTATATAACAGTAAAGGAACTCGTTAACGGATACACCCTACTGTGCAAATTATTGTTTTTGAATCGTGTGAATAAATTGATAATTTTCACGTCCTCGTGATGAGTGATCGACAAATAAAGCTGATAAATATATTTATGATGTAACTTTTGAAAAGGAAGCGTAGGCAGTAGACAAATGATTTCTGTCAGTATACAACAAGAAAAAGTAGGTATTCTTTAGACAGCCACCAAGAATAATGCATACTTCAGGCTATAATGAAATGTTTTACAGCGTTCATCGGTATATTTTGGCTACTAGTAAAAAATGGTTCTGGAAAACGATACGCTTTCTGTCTTAAAAGTATCCACATGGCAAATAGTTAACTCATTTTGCTGGGATAATGATATGCAAAAATCAAAATTTTAGTTATGAAGTAGACTAACCTCAATAAATGATCTGATGTCACGCTTCCTAAAAGGTTCACTTTTTTCAACTTTTCTATCACTTTTGATCTTTAAAGGTATGTTAGAATACGTATTTCTTACGCATCAGTTAAGACGTAAGTCTATCGAGAGTATAGCCTGATGAACGATTTTGAAGTATAATATATAGTTTCAGTCGTTTTTTTCACTTTCCACTGCCTTACATCACTGCCAATCTGAATATCACTGATTTTCTACCGACTTATTTTTTAATATTGTAATAAAGCAGAGATAAGCCGACGACATCTTATATAACGTTCTACAAACATTTATCTTCATACAGCAAAAGGCAGAATAAAATTAGTTTTGGATAGTTTATTGATTAAAACTATCCAAACCCAGTTACAGCGAACTGACTCAGCAAATATAAGTAATGTATTATCTATGGAAGTAAGGAAAATAATTCAAAGTTTTGAACATTCATTCGCAATAGAGAAACAATAGTTCTTAATACACACTTTCATTTACTAGTAATATTGTTTTGCTATTTACAACAAGAAATATAAAAAGAAAAATTGCCAAGTAATCCCTAATTTTTCATGGGTATTAATTGTGTGCAGATAACGTTTACAAAATTCCTGAGTAGATAAGAAAATCTCCATACGCATTTTACGGTCAAGATAATAATTATGGTTATGATCTACTCTGAAACCAATCCATTAAAAATATATTTCAAATATAAATGAAGCGTTTCTTTTTAGTTTAACTATCACCAGCAGCATCTCCTAATGACGTCTAATCAAATGCACTGAAAAACAGTTATACAGTTTGTCCTCCTTAGGAATTACGCATGCAAGAATCAATTATTCTTCAGAATTCATTGCATCACCTCTTGTAGGAGACTAAATTGAAATCACTATATGATGAAAATTAAACACCTTTTACACGATAAATTAACTAAAGTGTTTGATTGGTTGGCTGAAAATCTGCTGAGATGTCACTTTAAGAACTATTTTTAAAATAAATATTAGAAATCGAAACCCGAAAGTAGCAACAAAATCTAAACATAGTTTGAGTGTTGCATCGAGGACCCAGAAAATGAGCCTGCGTAGTAATTATAACCAAAAGAAAACGAAGGCTTAAAAATAAAAAGCAGTAAATTAAACCCAAATGAAATGATATCTCATTTTCGAATGCGACTTAAAAAGATTTAAATGATAAATAAGCGAGTTTTGTCTGTACAGAGATATATATTTTTATCTAAATGACATTTTACTTAACTTTTATCCTTATTGCATTCCAGTTTTTACAGCAGACAAATGTATTTAAATGACGTTTGACAGTAAATTATGTCCGAAACGTAATCCAGTAAATAACGCTATTCAGCTATGAGATACATCTAATAAATCAACTAAAATGGAATTATTTTCCACCACAGTGCTCAAGACTTTTAAATTAATGAGACATAAGGTCTTTCTACACGGACACTAGTCAACAAATTCACGTCTTGATATGACTATAGGCAGTAAATAATTTCCAAAACGTAATCCAGCAAATAATACTCTTCCTTCGTGTGGTATATCTTATGAATCAACTAAAACAGAAGACAAGCATCTAACCGACAGTGCAGAAAGTCTTAGTTTTTCCTGACTCTGCAGTCAAAACCCATGTATTTTTATATAACTATTCGAACTTCGATTTGTGTGTCCAAAGCACTTTAATTTTGAATCTTCAGACAATCTTCATATTATATTCGAGTATAAGGGTGTTTAAACTAGAGTGTATATAAGACTAAGCTACAAAACATTTGACTTTCAGAAAGTTGTTTTTTTAATGACTAGCTAACAGTCTTGTTGCACGTAAGATATTTTCAAAATCGAATTCCTTTCGTTCACATCTTTTTCTATGTTCGTATTGAGCGTCGTTTAACTGACCCTGTTTTTACATTAAGATAATTTATCTCATATTCATGTCAGTCGGCTGAGAGAGTCAATTTAATCACTTCAACTTATTTTTACTTTTATCTCATTCATTCGTGAACATTGTTCATCTTGCTTCATATAACGCTTCTCGAGTTTACCTAAATCTATAACTTAAACTTCCTGTGTATTTTGAACCACAAAGAGTAATTATAGGCATTTTGCAGATCACGACTTCACAGAAAAACATTATTGTTCAATGGATAGTCGTTTGGATATAATTTACTGTTCATGTCTACACCAGGTAACTCTTCAACAGCTAATTCTCAGTCCTTCCTTATGACATAAGAAGTGGTAAACGGATGCAGTATCATTCTGACTGTATAGATTCGGTTGC